CTCGTAAAAGGATTTTACGCATTTGTATATTGCCATCGTTTTCTACTTTTTGCACAGAAAAATAAAACCATATTAAAATGGAGTAACTAAAAAGCCTGCTGAATCCTTAGTTGAGAACCTGTGAAAACGACACCTATATTAAAAGTAAATTTTGCTGCCCTTTAAATGTCTTTACGGGCTCTACTATCCTATTATCTACATGATCATCTTACATGCATGTCTACTGTTGAACTTGCCCTCCACAAATTCAGGCCAGGCCAGAGATCACTGCTTAGGTAGCCTCAATAATAGATTTTGATAGGGAAACTGTTGCTTTCTACGCATATGATAGAGGTTAAATTTTTCTTCGCTGGTAAAACTATGGCCCATTTGGAGCAATTGTCTAAGTTCCCTGATAAGTGCTGAGGTTATTTAGGCGCTGAATTACTCCGAATTCTATATTGGATCACCCATTATTCCTCATTATCATTGGCTGTAATAGACTAAGACGAATGAACTAGGCTAGCCACGAACCGAAGCTGACTCAACCTTGTCGTTAGCTCCTTCATTTCGCACAGACAACTTCCGACTGTGTCCAGCCCCGGGGCCTATGGGAGCTTTATAAATAATGGATGTTCCTAGACAATATTCGCAGTATTTACATTATTGAAGTAACATTCATCACTTTTACAATACTGTCTTCATTATGTGTCGCTGCTTGTTTTTCTCGCTTTTATACTCCTCTCAGACCCGGTAGTTGGCCTTACTACCTTTATTGTGACTTTTAGATTAAGAATTATAAGATAATTTAGGGAACTTACAACTCTACAGCTAGTACTATTTTTCTCTTACCATAACATTTATCGGATAATTTATCTGGCCCTATTATAGATATGACATACTTCAGCTTTTTAAGTGCGGCGAAGGATTTAATATACTATAAGTACAATGATGTTACTCTAGATTACTAAATAACACAATGATCAAATCGTTTTAGATATCGGGACAAGTTTTGGGGGAATTGGAGCTAATCCGGATTCCGAGCCGAATGACGATGCCGATCGCATGAGCAATGACTCTTGGGTTTTAACTGCTACTTATTGTGGCAAGTCGAAACGACCAGAGGTTGGGAATTTCTCTGTCAAGAGCCATGAGCACAGGCCTCCAAGGCAATCTGAATGTGGCTCGGCTGTTGTTGAGCTGGGCATTGAGCTAACGGAGGACACATCAACTGCTTCCTCATCTGGCGGTAAACCTACTGCCACTGTGAAATCAACAACGGAGGCCATTATTAGTGAAGATGATGATACGATTTGTGACTTGCTTAAGGTCGCAGCTCTGGGAGAGGACTTGGAAACTGCGGAGGAAGCTATATCGGCGCTTAGTGAGGATTCTATTTTTGTACCATCGGAGAGGCCTGTGTTCAGCTGGCCCGCTTCTGAAGTTGCCTCCACTACAAGTAGTTGTGAGGCTACTGCTAAAACTGAAACAGAGCGAGCCGCCTTCAGGCAGTCGAGATGCTCCAGGACGGATTCGGAACTTAGCAGTTCGGTGCACCGGATGATTCATTGTACTGGCAGGGCAGACAATAACGCCAACCTGTTTAACCCGATTCCCCGAGAGCTTTTCCCGATCTCTCAGGATCAGTTTGTTTCCTTGCTCACGGTAAATTTATTTAAATCAACTTTTACTTTTTTTTTGCATGACTTATTGAAACGGGTTTTCTTAGTAAGTCTTCGGGCTACTGGTGACTTATAACAGAAATTGTTTTGCCTTTCCACTGTATTAACTTGCATCTCTACTCCAACTATTATCAGCTCCAATTGATCTTGGCAAATTTATTGAATTCACATTCGCTATCTTTACTAGTAATCTTATTAAGACATTATGACTAATATTTTTACATTATTTTAGACGTGATACTATTATTAGATTTTATTACTTTGCAAAGATTCCTACTTATTACTTAATTACGAGGCCGAGTTTTCTCATTGACTATCACACTTTAGTTTAATCTCATTAACGTCTTGCCACAGATAGATTTGTATGAATAAATGTTGATCTTAATTTTAGTATTTATTTGAATATCTTAATCATCTG